CAAAGCTAGAGCAAAAGCTAAGAAATGGGACAGAGAGGGTAATGTCATAGGCTAGAGCCTAAGGCAGCCAAGGCTTGGACTTGGGTGACTGATCTGAGCTGATACCAATCAGGTGACTGTTTAGCCGCTCTATTTTGGTATAGTCTGGTAACAGCACAGACCACCTTTCAATGTATATAATGAAGACTTTTCCTCTTCCATCTTCTTTCTTTAGTTTAAGATCTTCTATACACAGCACACAGTACAATTCAAATACAATTCTACTTCTAGTCCTTACACTCAGGCCAGTACTTGGATTTTAAGCTGGCCCCATTACCTAAACAGCGAGCTTTCGTTTGTATCATCCCCCCAGAACGTTCAGATTGACCGTTCTACTCACTTGTTGATACTGCAGACCATTCAATTTCGATACCTAAATCATCAACCCAACTTTGGAAGGAGAGTCCAAGACCACTTTCCTGATCACACCTAAAAATTTTGATATTCTTGTTATATTGTTGCTTTACATAGGCAACAAAGTTTCGAAAATGTCTCAATAAACTAGGACCAGTTTTATTGGACAAAAGATAGACAAAATTCATTCTTGTACAATCATCTATAAAATGCAGCATGTATTGAGATCCATCAAATCCCAACGGGGAGTATGAAACTAGGTCAAAATGAACTTTATCAAACGGTGATTTTGCACGGTCTGATGGTTGTCAAGAAACTATCCTTGTTGCCTTGTTCAGAGCACAAGTTTGACACTTGTTAGTCTTTGGACTGCTTGCGTCAAATTTGACAGTCACACTCTAGATATGACTCAGCGCATCTGGACCAGCATGGCCAAGTTGTTGATGCCAGAGTTGTATTGAACCTATTGATTTACGCGGCTCTGTAGAATTGACCACAACTGCGGAATCTTCAGTCAATAGATAATTTTTGACATTGGGCTGATGACCTAAGTCCGGAAGATTTATATCTGAAACTGGCTGCTGAGTGAAAACATCATGATTATGACAGTCCAAGAGTTGACAGATAAGATTTCCATTATATTACATCTTGTTAGTCTCAGAGTCCCATTTCACACCTTTTATCTTGAGTAACTTCCAAGAGATAACTGATGTTAAAAACTCAGGTGCAAGGGCAACATTTGTGATGGTCATTTTGAAAGTTTTACCATTTCCAAGGTTAGCATCAAATGTCATGTTACCATAGCCTATTATTGGACATGTCCCTGCACCTGCTTGAACAAATGCGTCATTTTGAGGTGCCAACAGAGGCGAAGATGCACGTCCAAGATTATTACAGACATTTCCATCTGCTCCATTATCTAGAAGTATCTCATTCCGTAACAGATGGTTGATAATAGTGGTTGGTGTATTTATTTTAACAGATGTAATAAATGTCCCGCTGTAGTTGTAATTATCTCTCAGATGTCGAGAATTACCTGCAGAATCTGAACTCTTTTTTGAAAATGTTGCTTGGACGTAGTCCTTCAGGCATTTTGCTGTCCAAGTCGAATTATTAACAAACATTCTGAAAGGTGGAAAATTGCATGCCTTCTTGAACTTCATTGATATATCTTCGTTTCTGACAAATCCGTGCGGAGCTTTTCCCTCTGCAAGATAGAAACACTCTTCTCCTGGGTGTGTAGTTCCACACAGACAGGGCCTTGGTTCACCTGGATGATATAATTTTTGATTTTGACAATTTGTTGACTGATTTATGTTCAAATTATCTGTCGAGCTTTGTTCTCGACCCTGCAGACTGGTTGGAAAGGCTGAGAATTCAGTTTTCGAGTCAAACTTATTTAGCTGCCAAAATTGACAAAACTTGATCAGAATGTCTAAAAACTTTGTGGTCAATTTATTTGAGAGTTTCAAAATTTCCATTCTTTTGCCTGTCACCCACATTGTAACAGTTCCGATTAATAAAGCTTGGGCGTTCATATGTCGAAAGGTAAGTTTATTTACTAACTGAAGAACAAGACTACTGCTACACTCAACGCCCTATTTATATACATGATTCCAATATTTCAAACACTAGTCTCTGTCCTCTAGTCCGGCTCCCACTATTAAAGTGTGGGCTAGTTACCAATGATGTTTCGTGCACGGGCAGTACCAGACTTTCAATACCAGCGTATCTTAGCGCTGAGGTGATGAGTATGCATGAGATGAATAGCACAGGCTACAGGCAATCTACCGGCTTACTAGCCGCCACACACATGGGAAGAAGTGAGTTTGCCCCAGTGAGAAAATCTTGTGTTAATTTGTACTCACTGAAGTCAGCGACCTTTAATCTTTTTATCATAATTTCTAGGCGTTCCCATTCCATTAACCAAACGTCTACGTTTTTGTGTGAAGGTGGAATTCGGGCTTTAGCATAGTCGTCAATTAATCTTAGTTGTTGGATATCTTCTGCCGGCTCAAGCCTATTTTTGATCTGGTTGAGAACTTCACGGCATGTCATGTTTCCAAATACTAACTTTCGGTGATTAACATGAAGAGACTCAACAATTTTTGCTCTCAATTCGCCGATCAGCCTACAATCTTGTTTGTATGTTTGAATATCGACTCTGTACTGAGCATTATCTTCTCTGAACATTAGCTTGTCGTCGTCCTCTAAATCAGCAAGTTTTTGTGCTGTCGCAACATAGTCTGAAAAAATAGGTTTCCTGGGCTCGAAATTTTGGATTCTACTTGCAGGGCTGATAAACTGCCAAATACCGTTGTCGGTGGCATAACCTTCAACCATATCACTCCATTCGAGATATGTCTCCCTTGTTAACGAGCCAGGCAGGAACGAAGACATTTTTATTGCTGATGTAGGATTCCTGACGTGTAAAGCTGTGAGAAAAATGGTTTAGCAAGTATGATTCAGATATAAACTTAAATGATATATTGTGCGAAAAAACCGGGCTCGTAACTGTCAGGTAACTGGGAGCCTGACCTGTGACAGGCGAAGTGTATGCAATCAAACTAAAAGATAACTCAGTAAAAACAACTTGATTTCTATTTCTCCCGGAATTCTAGGAATAGACACTGATCATGATTGACTTGATCTCTTGATCTCTATATATAGACATGCGCTAGAAATAAAATAACCTGCAGTTCTAAATACAGAATTCAAGCACTGACCGAAACAAATAACCCACGTATGTATGGACAGTCCCTATTTTTGACCTGTGAAATTTCTTTGTCCAACTTCTTCGGTGGTTATTCTTAGCCGTTGACACAGTTTCTATTGCTACCATTTTTTTGGGTAGAAGTTTCTGTGGAAAAGGTTGCCGAATTCCACGGGTAAACACTGAGCTAAATGGCTATTCATCAGGGGGATGTATCAATGATCTTTCTAGTTACAAATGAGGATAGGAGCACGGTACAAGGTGTGGCCCACAGTGTCATAGCTAGTTAGGCTACATACACTGAATGATTTAAAAAAAAAAAGCTATAGCCTGGGTCAGAGAGGAGCCCAATATGCTAGATGGTCATAGACTCAAGAAGTACAATAAAAAGATAACATCCAATCTACGTTTATTACATGAAAACGCTTTCATGACTTGTTAAATCACATTTGAGAATAAATTCGCTCACACCGCTTTTAAGTACATTGCTTTGCACAGAATTAGTTGTCAGCCGCCTGCTAATATCCACCCATACGAAGTTTGAAAATCTTTGATTATCTGAGCATTAATTCGGCATACTTGCACGAGAGCATCGCGAGAAATATAATGAAGTATTATTAGATTCAGGCCGGTAATCTCCTGTCTAGAGTGAGATAGACGTCCAAGCTCTTCATGTTGTACTTGTAAGACCTGTCCAGACGTCGTATCATTGTATTATGCAACCATCATGATGTTTATAGTGTCGTCTGGTCTCCCTCACATGACATCGTAGCGCAGACAATGCTCTCCGATGTGAGACTGATTTCCAAAAATTCAAATTTTATCCCCGTGAGATTGTATCCAGCGTTTGCATCATCTTATAAACTTGTCCTTATCTCTCTAATTACATCCTAAAAACCTTCTCCCATACTTGTACACCAAGATTTGCCTCCCCTGGCGAGAATTCATATTCTTATAGCCTTGTACGCGAAGGCCATTTGAGGTAAGAGACTGATTTGATAGGAGGTGTGGTTACAGAACTGAGGATGCACTAGACCGCGCGTGTAAACCGGACGACGGGATGGATGGAAACGTTCTCTTTGGGAATGGGGATTTGAATTAGTGGAGAACCTTGAATCATTGTCCCATAGGCCAACATCTTTGGCATCGCGAAGTTTAATGAGCTTGGCTTTGTGTAAAATTTTGATCCTAATTTCAAAGACACCACCGATGAGTGTTCACTTATCATGCGTCATTGATATAAGTTGTGAATACTATGAGTCTGATCAAGAAAGGTATCCCATAGTAGATATGTGGCGTTTGACGTATCCTCTGACTGGGGCGGCGCACCATTGCGCAGTGACGGACATGAGTCATTCCTTAAACTATTCTGATTACAAGGAATATTCATAATCACAAACGTCCGTTTTGGGTAAACATACCTACCATAGAGTAATTTAACTTCAGTGAGTAGAGAAACTTAGTCGAAGAGATGCCGTCAGAGAACCACGTATTCCGAGCATTGTATCATAAATACGCATGTCGATTGGGCTAATAGGCGGGCAATGGGTGACATTTTTGTGGCAAGCTTACACAACCGGACCCCGACTTAAGCCGGTGTAATCATGTGGTTTAGTTAACAGCGCGATAGAAAGGTTCACAAGGGAGCGGGAGCTACGATTAGATAGCAACAATTAACCGATCTGACATCAAACTTACCAATGATTAATCTCATATCCAGACAGAACTTTACTGCTCAATAGCTTGTAAACCCAGCCGGATCAGTAGCTATTCCAGATATATCGCTCTAAGCTTACAACCTTGTTTTTGTAAGTGATTATGAACCCGGAACTCTCTATCGTGTTTTAATTGATGCTTAAACCACGTAAGATGTCACAGAAACAATAATCAAATAATGTCCGCTCAACTTGCTACGGTTAGTGCTTTTATTAAAGGAGCACCCCCAGGAGAGGTTTGTCCAGCGATATAAGTGGGATGAAATAAAACTAATCGGTCTACAGCTCCCAAATGTTGTTTCTGGTACCATCCTGTATACTTTAAAGGAAGCTAGACACTTATGAGTTGAAAATAGACATAAAAATTCTCACTAATAATGATCCCAAAATCATATCTGAGCTCGGCCCAGTATTTCAAAGTTACAATGAAAATCAATTCACGACTGTCAAGTTACCTGATACTGATCAAAATGTTGGTAAATGTAATCCACTACATGGAACAAATACTAAGTTGTAACCCGGAGATAATCGTCAGCGCTTACAACTCTCTCGGCGAAGGAAGATACTACGATGTGAACAGCTGTTTGAGCTTCTCATTCGATCATGAAACCCAGGTACGAGTAAATTATACGATGAGAGTATATTACCAAGAGTATTAATTGTCACTAGAAACCAAGTGAAGTTCAAAGTTACATGCTAGAAAGCAATCATTCAGATTTTGTGTAAACCTTCCATAACTCAAAGTCTAATGTGACCACTAATACTCCTCAGGAAGTCGATATCTAAGAATCTAAGACTATATTTGAATGAGCATTACAGCAATGCATCTTGTGGGGTTTATCCTACCAACGAAGACTCTGAGATTGCGATATTGATTGTTGCCAATCAATATAGTCCGAGAAATTTTTGGTATGCTATCAGAGCCTGTTTCATACTTGTTGCTAAATTGTAAAGGAATGGTCAATGGAAGTCCCTTTACATTTATTCACCAGCCACATCTTGCTTGAGCGGACAAATCAATGTAGATGTTCATTATTACGAAGATGGAAATGTCCGCCTTCTCACATCAAAACCTGTATCATTATCAGTTTCTCATGATTCAACTGAAACGGTCTTGAAAGAGATTAAAGGCTTGGAGAAAAAATATCAAGAGGAACTAACTAACGGCTTTCAAAACCTGAGTGAGGGAGCCTTCAGAGGGTTGAGAAGGCAATTACCGGTAACAAGGCAGAAGGTTGAGTGGGACAAGATTGCAGGCTATCGGTTAGGTCAGGATATTGGAGGGGGCAGTATCAAGAAATAGACTTAGTGCGAGCTTTGAACCTGGGTACTTCAAATTGTGACTATAGATTCAGACAACGTCATACCCCCGCCGATTTGTCGGAGCGTATTAATGCTTGTCATCAGCTAGTTTCTCCGATGATCTGTTGTAAGCCTTATACGCGCTGCCCTGAATTATGACCAATCAATAGCCTCGCCAAATTCCTAACCCATGGTACGCGTGGCACTAGTAGAACGAAGGAGATTCAAAAAGTACGCACGGAATCAACGAGGCTAGTTGCTTTACAACGTCGGTTTGATTGATTATCTCTTTTTACCACAAATTCATTGAATAAGCCCCTCCACGCGATAATCATAATTGATGAACAGGCCTTGTGAACTATACAGAAAATTCCAAACAATACATAGCCGTCACAACTAGACAGTCAAAAATATGTCACAGGAACTAACTTACGCAGACGTCTTGAGTCATGCTGAGAAGGAAGATCTTTTTATGGTTATAGATGAAAAAGTGTATGATGTAACGAGTTTCGTCGACGAACATCCGTAAGTTTCAATATTTCCGTTAATACGATCTCATGAACCCGCCATGGCATTGAATAACGCCTAATACGGGAAGAAGAGACTAAAGAGGAGTGAAGAGTGGCTATGCTGGCACGATCTCTAGAGATCACAACCAAATTGTCGAAGCAGGCGTCTGGCTTAAAGCTGAGGATCGATTACACTTTTCGCTAATTTGATACTAGAGGTGGAGAGGAAGTCCTGCTCGACGTCGGCGGCCAAGATGCGACCGAAGCCTTCGAAGATGTCGGCCACAGTGATGAAGCTCGAGAGATTCTAAACCGTTTACTTATCGGTACACTGAAACGTCAGGTAATATTTGCGGAAATAACGAATTACTTTCAATTCTAATATCTGTAGGAATCGGACCCCAAGCCTAAATCTATTAATAGAGCTACTCCCGTAGGCTCAACTTCCACTAGTTCTGGCCTGGAGATAGGGCTCTTTATAATAGTGTTTTTGGGAATAGCTGCTGCTTACGCTGCATACAAGTACATAGAGAGCCAGGGACATCTATAAGAAAATTGATGTCCAAATAATATTTGTGCACATCTCTAATGAGTTTTGTGGGAGCTACCGCCAGGTTAAAATTACCAACGGATTTCCTACGACCAATTTGAACTTCATAGCTGGTAGCGTGAATCTCGGGCTACCCCATCGCACAAGGATCTAGCTAATATTCTAACAAGAAACGTCGAACTACTGGATTTAGAATTGTAAATAATTAAGCGGAGGAACTGAACTACTTGTCTATCTCCGCCAGCTTCCTGGTACAAAAATTTTGCATATAATGGTTTGTCTTATGGGGGAGTTCGCTTTTATAAACTTTAAAACCTAATATAAATTCGAATGAATATTTTCACTCATAGTTGTCAATAGAAAATACCGGTGAAAGCATAAAATTTAAGTAATCAAAATATAATGGTCTGACAAAACTTCCCCTATACTCCATTTATGCCCATTCATCTGTTATCTCAAGGGTACTATCAAGCAAACATATCATCATATTCCTCCTCTTCAGGTACAACTTTTGTCAATTCAATAATCCTATGTTTCCTCTCTCCAATCAAGTCTTTCCGATCTACAGGACAGGTTCCTTGTAACCTCAACCAAGGACCTACACAGTCAAGATCAAAGCGATGCTTTGGATGACAAGGTAATTGTACCACCAGACAGAACTCATCTTCTAAGAATTCTTCGCCACAGATTTTGCATTCATCTCCTTTCTTTAAATTTCTACGCGAGACCCTTTCTAACTGATCCAGATACTCCTGCGATACTCCTGGCACGGTTGTTGGAGGTTGGTCAATATCGTGTTGTAAGGAGGAGATAAGACTGTGCAAAAAGGATACATGTTGGTCCGATGAGGCTATTAGGAGGAAATGACTAAGCTGCTCTTGGAGATGGCGCTCAGCAGCAGCCATATCGACAGGTGTTGGCGTAGCATGTGGATTGTTGTGCGAGGGAGATGTCTCAATTTGAGAAAGCTGAGCAAAGAAGCTTGACATAGACGGTCGACGCGATCGGCAACGCATGCTCTCATCGAGCTTGATGTTATGGTCAACTAGAGATAGATTAGCGCTAGCTAAAGAACACTGACTAACTGCCGCACTCTCATATTGAGTCGTCATCCTTCTTGTCGACTTGTGTGCTAAAAGGGCGCCAAAGGCACAAGCAGATAGGTGGTGATATCAGGTTAGAAGCGACGTGAGCTCGAAGATATGCTACCAAGTGTGGGCAATTGATGCTATGAAAAACTTTTCTAGAGAGTCGTACAATACAAGGGGCGCGAGTTGAAAATGTGGTCGAATATTTATTTTTAACAATGGCTCATGCTTCGACGAGCTACTTTCGCGAGTGGATCACCAACTTGACCAAATAGCGTAGGTTATTCTGTTTGTAACGGCTAGTCGTCATTTGTTAGACAAAATCACTACTTCGATTACCTTCACATAATTGTTTTCTACCGCCTGCAAGAATGAATTCTTCAGCTTCCAGTAGTGCCGGTGTAATCGCTCAGTATACTCCGCATATCTTGGATAGCCAAAAAGAATCGCATCTGAATCGAAATCGTAAGCAACCTCAAGCGTATCTCCATTTGATGACTTCTCGACAATGCCTCTCTTATCATTCTCATCTGAGTCCTCAACATCTTTCTAACTACGCATCATCTCGCCTCGAAGACCAACAAAGATGTCGCTCCAATTGCAAACAGAAGCTTGCCCAATTAATTTCCAGCCGTCTCTTACTAAATATTTACAATGCTATTTATACCCGCAAGGAGGAAAGCAAGTCGAAAAATATAGAGCCTGAGTCCTAGCTTATGGGGGACTTTTGCTCTAATGGGACAAACAACTTGAGGGGGAACAGGTCTCTGAAAGCCATGCTAGCAATGGAATTTTCGGGGGGTTTTCAACTTTGGATGGTTTGTGGGCGCCAATACCAAGATTTCGGCTAATTAGACAGGAGGACTTCAATTGTCGATGAGTCAACGGCACTCCCCAGCGCCCTGGACGGCACAAAAGAAGCTAGGCTAAGCTACCATACAGTAACCACGCTCTGTCAAGACTTTTGTGACATTTCAGCACGACCTTTTGGAAGGAGTTGGAAGGAGGCTAGAAAGGCAAAGGGTGAATTTCCCGAGGTACCCGCAAGTCTGCAGCGCCCAGCTGGCCAGCCTCTTCGAACACTTCGGAAGAATCACTACGTCTTCGGATTTAGTCCTAATGTCGGTATTAGGAGAGCTCCGCACCCAGTGGTTTTTGCGATTTTTCCCGGCTGCCATACACCCGCAAATGGCCATCGTCTCGTTGGCTGGAGAGGGGAGATAATGAAGGGCAAAGGGCTCCTCTTAGTGTATGATCGAATGAGGACTTGTAAGTGGCGGTACTGTTTGAGGGGAGCTATATGGGAGGCATAGGAGGGGATATACTACTGATAAAGGTATCCTTGGCCTGTAGGTAGAGAGGACCTGCATGTCCTACTTAGTCATAGACTTAGAAATGACAATAAAATGAATTAATAACAATCCTCGTTCCAACAGCTACACCACTCGCCGACTTTCTCTGGCCTCAGCTCGTCACAAAATACATGCCCACGCCGATATTTATACCTGACGGAGGAAGCAAAGCGTGGCGCACAAATCTGGGAGACAGTCCATTGGGATGGGCTTGTGAGGGTTTAGGACAAGTTCACAATACTATTGTGACGCCCCGACATTTTAGTGGCCACGTGGTCGTCGGTTCAATAGTTGGTAAGCCGACACAGGGCCAATCCAGGAATACCAATGACTAGTTTCAGACACACGAGTCTTGTGTGTGACAAATCACGATACGAAAGGTTTGTCATGGATATTAGTTTTCATGCGAAACCCTTGGGTTGTAGGCAATGAGGGACAGAAGGTTTCGTGTTGGCAACTCTATTTCAAAAGTTGAACTCTTATGCAAATATATACAGATTCATATCCTCCTAGATACTTTTCTCTTTAGTTTAGAATCTTATGATTTGAGTCCACGCCAGCTTCTGACCACTCGCCAATCGTCTTTTGTCCCTCGAGTTTCCACAACTATGTAGAGGATGGATACATTCTCGACGGGCGTGAAATTTCGAATTTTGGCAAGAGTTTTACGAATTGAGCTTTGTGCGCGCCAAGACTTCGCCGTAAGTTTGAAGGTGATACTATAAATACTGTCACGGTTTGATGGTGCGGTGGTACATCGTCTTAGCTAGTCTTCCAAGAAGAGTTTGGATAGGTAGGATACATATACTACACGAGACAGGAGACGACTGGTTCAAATCCGGCAAATAACTCACAGATTTCTCGCATCACTTGTATACATGGATGACGAGGCATGCCTGAATGATCAAAGGATTTGAAATTCCCTTTGGTAGGTAATTACAAAGGAAGTTCGACTGTTTGTGTAAGCAAACATACCTTTTAGTGGTATTTGCAAATGAAATCCGGAGTATGAGTGTCTCTATCATCAAAAGTGTTGGTAAGACGTGAAATAATACAAATTGGGTGCCGTCACAAAGTCAGTGAATAAAGTCAATTAACTGGTAACTCGAAATACATATAACGCTGACTCTTTCTTTCCCCTCTCTATCCCCTTTCTTCCTCTACTCCAAGCGCCTCGCTAATGAGCTATGTCAGATCCCTGTCAGAGTTCTAACAACATTCTGAACACCACAATTACATGGAATAATTTATACCGCCCAAATATGATCCTTTTACCGACAAGAAGTGTCATCCATCATGTGTGCATAGGACCGGCCATGTGTCATTGCTATCTAGCTGAATACACTTTAAATGATTTTTTCAAAAAAGAGGGTGGCAAACAAAACCATCTTCCCAAAAACCATGATATTGAAAGATATTTAATCAGTGTAGAAAGCAGTATTAATTCGGGGCTCTTCTGTAGATAATAATAATTAACTGAATTTACTCTCGGACTTGCTCTGGTGTCTACTTTTGTCAATTGATCCTGTGACAGGCCAACCAGAAACAAACTCAGAAGCCGCAGAAACAAGCAGTGCAGATCCCGAAGCTTGGAGAGCGGCCAAATTTTATCAAAGTAGAACACCTGGACAGCAAAAACGGAGTCTTCGAGGCTCACCATCTATTCTACGTCATAACCTGACAAGGACCTAAAGTAGTTTGGCAATGCAAATTCGCAATCAGCACATGGAGTTCAATTTGTGTTTACATAGAAAAAAGTACCCTGTATTTTCAGTCCAGGCTGTCCATGTAGCTACCAATTGCAGAACACAAAACATATAGTTATTTCCTGCCCTTGATCGTCGCATGATAAAGGAGAGATTGGGAGTGTTACGGGTTTTACCTGGTGTTAGTTGGCTTGGTTGACTTACTGACCCAGCCCTGCATGTAAGTGGGATGTGGCAAATAGGCTTGTCTATTGCATCAGGTTCGACGCTTAGTAAGTGCTTATATAAGGTGGTCATCAGCACACACCTTACATTGGCTCTGTCCCACTGATGTGTTCTTCATAGAAAATATAGATTATTTTGTGACAGCCTTTGCGTGCAGCGTCTGTGATTCTCGTCTTTTTACAGGGAGACAAGCCAACAATGGATGGTGTTGTGGTTCGCCTCCTGGTGGTGTTCTCCAGTATAGTCTGACTAGCCTGGGCACCTACTTCACTTGGGAAGGAGATTTCTAAGATCAAATTTCGCGCGGACAAAATTTAATGGATGACAGAGGCACATCTGGATGACTCAGGGTTTTTAAGACGTTTTTTTTTTGCATCAGATTTTAATTTTGTATGCAGCTATCTAGCTATGACACAATATCTGTAACGGCTAGTGAGCCGATAATTGTCCTGTATCACGTGATGTTAATCACGTGCCTCAACAACTCTGTGAAAGGGGAAACTTCACTCTAGTTTATTCTGAACACGACTAGAGGATTCTAGCAACTGGCATTGAGACTGTGAACTGGTATCAGGGAAACATAACAGAACCTAGTATCAGACAGGAAGGAATATTCTAGATAGCCTAATAAGTGTATAAATAGTTGAGTTATGACACACATATTGTGGTATAGAAAATAATAAACAACCTTCGTATATTTGATCGCCCCAGCATCTATACCTCGAACTGTGACATATTATTTTCTATCTTCAGACATCCAGAACCGCAGTTATTTTCAGATAATCAGATCCGCAGGAATTTGTTCACAATGGCATCCGGGGGAAGTTTGCAAGTGGTGCCAATAGAAGAATTCAGAGAGCTGCAACAACAGTTTAAAAAACTACTGGACACGCAGTCTTGTAAAATTACGCCAAAAAGATTGATCATCGAAGAGGATCCCCCACTTAGAGAGAACACTTGCTTGAAGCCGACAAAACTTCCGGAATTCGTTGGGAACAGAGCAGAATATCCAGCATGGCGTGCCGCTGTCCTGGATACTTTTCGTATGGATTGGTATTTATTTGGATACAACAACTCTTGTGCTTTTTTAATGATATACAACGCACTGAAAGGCACGGCAAGGACAAAAGCCAGTCCCTTCTACGAATCGGGGGGGGTCCACAACACCAGGGACCCAGAAGACTTCATCGAGTTTCTGGATAGACTATTTCTAGATTCAACGAGAGTTTCAAGAGCGAAAACAGAGCTCCAGTCGATGAAAATGGAAGACAACGAACGGTGGTCGGATTTTTACGCATCTTGGTCTAACAAACTGACTGAGGCTCGGGGTGACTTTTGGCCCGACAATAACAAAATATCACTGCTTCAAAATACGTTGAACAAAAAGTTGACCATGGCATTAGTCTCGAATCATATGTTGCCCGAAGAAGATTTTATTGAATGGGTGAACATAGTCAATAAAGTGGCGCAACAATTCGAAATAGCAGAGTCCCGTTTCAAGGGTAGACGAGAGTATTTATGCTCCAACGGAGACTTCAGACATGGAAGCAGGGGAAAAGATTACACCAATGGAAGTGATTTAAATAACGGATCACCACAAAGAAAAACTCCTGATAACTTCGGCAGCCAATACAGTGGTCATGGG